TTTTCTGTCTCATTCAAGTTATGTGAAATTCAAAACTGACATGTAAGGTGTACAGCATGTTGTGGAATGTGGCTCCTCTGTGGGGAATGGGGTTTTCCATCGTTTCGTGATTCCCGAACGACATAACATGAACGCACTGCAGCGAGATCACTCGCGCGGCCCAATTCCCGAAGACACTTTGCCACGTTCCAGGATCCTCTAGGGTTTGAGGGTTTAGGGTTAGGGTTTAGGGTTTAGGGTTTAGGGTTTAGGGTTGTGTGTGTGTGTGTGCGTGTGTGTGGGATTTAGGGTTTTGGGTGTGAGGGTTAAGGGCCCCGGTGCCAAGCGATGATGCGATGACATCCAGGTGGGCATGCCCAACGCAGGGAAAACCTCCCTGTTGGCTCCTCGGCTTCAATGGCATGCATTTGGGCTTTGGTTGCTTCACCTTGCACAGCCCATAAACCCTACGCCCAAAACCCAATCCGGATTCCAGATTCTCTGCACGAGATGGCAAAGGGTGTTCCTAAACCCTAAACCCTAAACCCCTGAACCCCAAAAACCTTCGTGTGTCTTTCAGGCTGGGGTTGCCACCGCTGAGATCCCGTAAGGGCCCAGCCCCAAAGTTCCGCAGAACCCCAGAAAGTTGGGACATGGAGTTAGGACGACCAGTGTTGGGATTCCCTAATGTCACTGAATGAGATCAATGATGTTCCAACTTTCTAGCTTTTTGCTTTTACAGCTCACCAGCTCCAACCGATTTCTCCGGAGGCTGCACTCAGCCGCGCGCACACGCGGATTGGACCCGAGGAGTTCAGCACCACGAGGCACCTGGGACGCAGGGGTTTAGGATTTAGGGCCTAGTAGATGAGGTTATAGGGTTCCTAACTATCAGAATTTTATTCAGTCAGGCTCTGTTTCATGCTCTAGGGTTTGATCGTTTCTTGTAAGGGCAATACAGGCGTCTCAGAACTATTATCGTAAAGTTATCCATACCTTTCCTGCTCACGCTCACTGCACCAAAATCCAGAACCTTAAATCCTTCACCTGAAACCCTGAAAATTTAAAAACCCTGAACCCCACTTAAAGGCACTCATAACAAAAAAAGGACCAAACCTTTGAATACACCCATGTACAAACCCCATAAACTGCGTTAATACAGTGTAAGGCCCTGTAAAGCATGTAAAGTATGTACCCATATACATATATATCTCTCTCTCTCTCTCTCTCTCGTTGTACATATGCGTGCATGTAACTCTCAATGGCCCGACTCTTTCCACTAGCTTGCAGGCCCCATGTGGGAGTGATCAAGTTCCGGGATCGCGTGGAGATTCGCCTGTGCGACCTGCCAGGTGAGGGCTTTATGGTCTTCAGGGTTTGCGGGAGGTTCGCAGTCTGTTAGAGCTAGAGCTTTGGGAATTGATGGGTGGTCGTTATAGCGTCATTATAGAGGCCAGTGAGCTGCAGTCTTGACTGCATGGCACAGATCCGTTGAAGGTTATCTGCGTTCACCTCGTTCTGTTTCTTTGAAGTGCTTCGCACCTTTGCTGGCTTCGATTCTTGACCATGGAAAGGCCTTTCGGAAGGAGCGCACGAGGACGGCACAGTGAGATGTGAGTAGTTGAACCGAGCGAGGCTTACCGATTTCGCGTAGTCGAGCGAACAGTTCAAGAGTCGACGTGTCTGGCAGCGGCGCTTTGTCTCTCCTACTTGGCTGCAAACTGAGCATCTCAAGAGTCAAGGGCGATAAGCCGGCCTCGCGCTACAGCACCCGTAAGCTGCAGTTGTCGAGGACAAACTGATGGGGCGGCGGATTCTGAGGCGATGGCCAGCTTTTTTTGGGCCGTGTGGTTCTGGAGTAGTCATAGTGAACCCTAAGGCCCTAAGGCCTTACCTGTAGCCGAAAAGACCGGGGTTTCTTATTATGATTTCTATATATAGTTCCTGAAAACGGCTACAGGTGGACCCCCAAAGTATGCAGAATAATGGCCTTTTATAGGTATTGGGCCATTATTTTACCTACTTTGGGGGGTTTATAAGTAAGGTCTACTGCACATGATATCGGCGCGGCAGAGCAATTTAACTTGCCAAGCTTAGCAACTTGAAGACGCGATCTCCCAAGCCGCAATCCCTCTCCAGGATTCACGGCCCCGTGGGCCCCTGTAAACCCTGGCAGAAACGGCAGAAACCTTCACAAAATACTGTAGTCAAGATCCCGTAAACTCGGATGGGCCTAAACCCTATACCCTAAAGGGGGAGGTTCTCTGTCAGCTGACCCGTGGCGAGAACAGGCCGCGCGATTAGGCCAAAAGTTCCCCAAACAGTTTCCTGTACACACTAGGATCGCAAGAGAGTGTTGGAGGTCATCATGTGGTGATCGCAGTAGTCGTAGTTATAGTTCGTAGTAGGTAGTTGTCGTTGTAGTCATCGGTCGTCATTGTCAGCTGACCCTAAACTCTTAAACCCCATGACCCTAAACTCTTAAACCCCCCAAAATCCCAAACTCCCCAACGCTGAACCCTCTACCCCTACCCTACGAGCCCTAACCTGCCCCAAACTCCCCAACCCTAAACCCTAAATACTAAACCCTATGAGCTTTGTAGCAAAGGAGCTCAAAAAAAACCTATGAGCCCTAAACCTGCAGGCACACGTACCGCTCCCGGGCTTTGGCATTCGTCGTCAACGTGGCTCGAGGACGCTTCTGCTCGTGGTTTAACACTCTTGGAGTTTCGGGGTTGCGTAGCGGTTTAGGGTTTGCAGGGTTTAGGTCCTGGGTTTGGGTTTATCCAAGGGTAAAAGGAGGGACCCTGAATAAGGATCCCTAGGTATATACCCTTAATATAGCTAGTATATACCCATTATATAGTCCATTATAGGGTAGGGGTCCCCATTAAGGGTCCCTCCTTTTCCCCCTTTGAGTTTAGGGTCTAGTTTCGGAGGCTTGGGGTTCTAATCGACACATGCTACATCATACACGTGTACTTTACTCTCCGGTGTGCCGCATTCACTAGTATTCCAGGTTGATGCAACCCGAAACACGAAACCCCAAACCCATCCCCCAAAACAATGATTCTGCTGAACACAGAGGGCACCTAGCCATAAGCTCGAAACCCCAAGCCAACCCTAAAACCCTAAACTTAAACCCTGAGCCCTTATAGAACCTCACTAAAGCTTGAAGAACCTGATAGAACCCATGCAAAAACCTTGTAGAACTCGTATCGTACCTTTATGCAGACTCCGACTCCTCCCTCGTCACGAAAACCCTAAGCCCTCATGTCATATCATGTTATATGCATGTATGTATGTATGTATGTATGTATATATATATATGCATGTAATATACACATATATCTATATGTAGATGTTGCATATATTCAGTATTATTGTATTTGGAGTGTATTGTCATACATATTATAAATGTCGTACAAGATAATATGAACCCTAAACCCGTTGGCTAGCTTCAGGAGAATCCTCGGAGCACGACGTCCTGGCCGAGGTAGAAATGCTGCGAGAGGCAGGGTGCTGTCGGGGGGGGGGGGGGCCTTTTTTAAGGCTACCATGCTTTTGGGTTTAGGTTTTGGGGTTTAGCGCCTAGGGTTTGGGCGAGATTTCTCTTGAACCGTCCCAGAACCTAGGTTTAGGATCCCGAAACCATGCGCCAAGGAAGCCATCCGCTTCGACCCTTTGAACGCGGAGAAGCCCTGGATGGTGATTGGGACGTGCCTCCGTCGCCATGTGTTTTCTTTTCGAGCTGGGTTTTCAATTTTCTGATGGGGCTATGGGCCTTGCGATACCCAGCTCAACTGGGATGTAGATGGTGTTCGGCTACACGAACGGCTTGCTCAAGGGCTGGGTAGGTGCAGGAAACTGGCAGATATCGCAGTGAGCAGATGACTAACGCTGTCTCTTAGGCTGCAGGTCTCTGCTACCGTGGCACTCAGGTAATATAGGGGTCTTATCAACTAGATCTAGGGCTCAAGGGCATCTTGTACCATAAAGCTTTGCCCACACTTCGGCTCGGAGGCTCGCTTTACACGGTGAAGACGGGTGGTAGTGACAATCATATTTCGTATAGAAGTGTACACGATGGGGTATGTAAGAAGTAAACGGACAATTCCAACAGGCAGAGAACATGCAGAAGAAAGAGCCGCCTAACACCCAGACCCTGCCAAGGTTGGATTCATACTGTTGATGGACAAAATCCTGCATGACCCTAAGGACTCTAAACTATGGGAACTATGGTATATTCCTTATAATGGGTAATGCAGGATTTATATCCCTAAACCCTAAACCCTACAGATCCCCTAAAGGAGCCCCCTTAAAGGTTCAACAGTACTTTCCTGCCCATATCGGAATTTGAGCCACGAAGGAAGTGCGACCTGCTGCACCGCGACCCTTTGTGCCCCGAACCGCATTTCAGCATCTTTAGGGCCCCAAAAAGGCACATAAGCAAAAATTAGGATTGGGATATCCCTATAAAATGCTTATGCTTATGTGCTTTTTGGGTCCCTAAATCTTAGCCGGGGGGCATCGGGAGCGTGGACGAACTTCTGCGACGAATAAGAACTAGTGGGGTATAGAGGCTCTGGGCTTTTCAGTTATAGGTCCGATGGCATCATAAGGACCTGATGAGGCCTAGTTAAGGAAATATAGTGCGCTACCCCCTTCCCCCTACCCCCCTAAAGGTCCCTGTGATATAAGTATGGTAGTTTGGGTTCCTTACTACAAGCATTCTTCCTGTAAGTATAGTCTAGTATAATATTTCACAAGACTCTATTCCCAATTAAAGGCCCTTGTATCCGAGTTTGGAAAGTATACCCCCGAAGCCCTACTCCAGGTTCCAGCGCACTAGAAGTGTAGTTTGCTATTCTGATTTCTCTACGAGAAGTATAGTTTAATATCCCCAAAGCCCTATTCACGCTATTAAGGCCCCGTAGAGACATAAGAAAATATATCCCAAAGCACCTAGCTCCAGGTTCCACCTCGACAGCCTGTTTTA